AACCCGGGAGAAGGTGTTAGGCATTTTCGAGTTCTGTGGTTCTAGCACGGTCGCTCAACTGTTATATTCAGCTTAATTATATGATTTTAAAACAATTTTTAAACCTATGTGCATTTTTAACTTTAATCGCTTTTAGAGAAAATTGCAACGTCATTAAAACACGTCTCAAACCACGTCACATAAATGCACCCGTGGTCTTTGACATATTTTAACATCGTTGAGATTTGGATTTGGGTCACATAAATGCAAACCCAAGTTTAGGAAGGTAATATTATTAAATGACGCGCCAAAGGCAACTACGCATTAGCAACTCTGCGAGGTCCATGAAAATTCGCTAAATGGCACACCTCGAATTCTAAGGATAAAAAAAATTAATTAAGATGAGGGCCATGCAATTGTGATGTAGGAGTCAGGTCTCCTTTACTTGCTTTCACTAATTATAATCTTGGTTTTCAACCTTAATCTCAAATTCTAAACTATACTCATTGCTGAAGCCCAAACTACTATATCCAAACCAAATTAATCGAGCTGATGGATAAAGGATGGCATGAATTTTGATGGTTGCAGGCAACAAAATATGTAGGAGGCAGTGAATATTTGGAGACATAACAGACTTGTTGATGTGGAAATCTTTGATTTAAATCGCTTCCCCAGTTCAAAGAAGCAGTGAAGAATACCTCTATACATTTGAAAACCTCAAACAAGTAGCAGAAGGAACAATTTCAAACTATAAACCTATCAACGAAATCAACGCATTCGCAAAGGCCATGAGGGTATTCAAGCATTCAGGAGATGCGAGCATTGAGGGAAAGGCAACTACCAGTAATAAAAATAAGAAAAAAAAAACATACTTCTATATCCTATGTGATCCATTTCAACTACTTTATTCTTTATGCACTTTTAATTCACCTAAAATTTCAAATAAGAACAGATGACCCTTAACAAAACTACAAAAAAAAAATAGAGTAAATTTGATTTAAACTATATCTCAAATATCAAATCAGACTTAAACAACATGCCCCCAACACATCTATACACAAAAGACAGTAATACATTACTACTTGATTCAAAATTCAGCAGACCTAACACAAAGCATGCAACAGTAAAGCTTAGCAATATCACCAGAACACTTCTAGCAGACTTCTCATTTGAGAACTAAGGAAAATCAGTAAAGACAACTCCAAATGGATTCAACTATTCAATTTCAGACTTGACTCACAAACACTAGAACATTGATAACAGGATTCCAAAGGATCTAGACTAAAATTGAGAGGAAATGAATTTAAGAGTGTCCAGACTTCCACCTAGCCTATGCAATTTGAAAAGAGACCAAACGCGCCCTTGATTTACTGGAAGTCCATTTCAAAACCCAAAGAACTTCATGGAGGGAAACCGGTGAACCAACTCAAACACCAAGCTAATGCAACCAAATAAACGAATACACAACCATGAACTAGACGATTCATATTTCGACGAAACACATGAACACCATATTCGGAATGGACTAACAAAATTGATGTCTCAGTACTTCAAACTCGCATTCACAACTTCAAGAAGTTATACATATTGATTATAATCAAGCGACAAGTTTCGATTGCAGCTTCAGAACTTAAATCACACGAGTTTCACTCTCGACGCAACTTTTGAAAAGAAATGAAGATGCTTTCTAGTCTAGATTCCAATAATATGATACTACAAGTAAACTAAAAGAATGCAAAAAGAAGGCAATCAAGCAGCAACTCGTGTTCTTCCAGACAATCTCATAGGAGCAGATGTTTGCAGAAAAGAAAAACAAACGATATGCAATTCGTGTTCCCAGAAAACACACGATCGATTTCCATACTCACACTATGACGCTCAAAATCAAGCAAACCTATGATCTAACCTTTCAGTTCCAACAGGCGAGAGTAGTTTCACACTGACAGACTAACCAAACTACAACAGCTATTTGAAATCAACGAGATCTGGACTCAAAGAAAAACTCGACATCACAGTAACAGATAAACCATATAAGCATAGAAAACGACCACTCAAAATCAACTTCTACTAACTGAAAATACTTAAATACATCACACCATCAAGAAGAGATTCATCAGCGAGAATAATGCACCAAAAATCATTTCGACTACGAATCAGGATTAAATGATGAACCCAAACTCGACTCCTTCATGAAGTTCGACCAAAGAACGGAACAAACCATTTGGGACAGCCTCTACAATTCAAGAACACTTAAATAAAACAAAAATGCAAAAGGGAAAGAGATTGAACCTGAACTTCAAACTTCTTTTATAATAAAATATAGAAGAAGCAGCAAATACACCTTCGGATTCCAAAAAACTAGCGAGGTTCAGCAGCAAATCAGCAAGACGACTGTAGAAAACCAAGCTTGAACTTCGATTTTTATCTCCTTGGAGCTCAAATCCAGATTCAGAAAACAGAAAAAATTGTATATATGTTTCTCATAAACTTTGAAAGAACTCTTCAAAGAAGAAAAATCCAAATCAGAGAACAAAAAAACAGAAGTTAAAGAAACCTTTCAACTTTTCTCTCCAAATTTTGTTACCAGAGTTTTTTTCTCTCTCAAAATTGGATAAGGCTCATTTTGAAGACGACTCCTTGATGAATGTGGGGCTCGGATTGAGTAAAATCAATCCAACGCCTCACACTCATCCAGCATATCGTCCGCAGAACCTTCCAATCGTGAGATATAACTCAAATTCGAGCGAGTGAGAGGAGAGGGGAATCTTGGCGTCAGAAACCGTTAGCAACGGCAAGATGAGAGAAGGAGGGATGCGTGGGTTAAGGATTTGGGATTCACTCGCCTGAGTTTGGACTGAATTGGGGCTTGGTTCGAGTGAGAACGACGATTGAACAGTGTTCGTTTGGGATCTAGGGCTCTGGGAGTCTCCGTATGATTGTATTCACGTGTATATTTGAGAATGGGTCGGGTCATGTTTGGTTTGGGGCGTGGGTCTGGGCGTATTTGGGCTGGGGTGAAGGAATTCACATTGGGCTTGGGCAAGATAGCCCATCTTTCTAACTTTTCAATTCCCTTTTCTTTTTTTCTTTTTCCTTTTTTCACAAATAATTCATTTCTTCTTTTTTTCAAAATTAAAATAAAATCTAAATTAAATCCTAGAACCTAGTTAACCTGAAAAACACTAATTAAACCTAAATAAAAATTGTCACAATTAGTAAACCACCCAATTAAAGGAACATTACTCAAAATCGAATCTAGAATTAAAAATGCAAATTAAACTATTTCTTTGTGATTTTTCCTTTTTATAAAATAACTTAATTACTAATTAATTCTTAAAATGCAAAATTAACTCCTAAACACACATGCAACACATTTTTTGTACTTTCCACTAATTAAAATAAACATACACAAACAAATGCAAACAATTAACAGAAAATGCCACGAAAATCCACAAAATTGCAAATAATGAAAAGAAATTATTTTGTTTTGAAATTATGGGAGTAATTCACATAGGGCAAAAATCACGTACTCACAGTTGCCCCTCTTTGCTCGGAAACACGAAGAGTTTTCGTGCAAAGATAAAGTGAGCGGATACGAGCGATTTTTGCCCGTTTGAATACTTCGTGGGAAGCATTTTTTGAAAGATTTGACCGCACCCTGCTTTCGAGGTTGCCTACATATCCTTGGCTAAAAAGGAATCAGGTCAGTGTAGTTCAGGAATGTTTGGTAGTTGGGACTACCATGAAGCTGTGATTTCACTGTTGCTGCTGCTGCTGCTACTGCTTACTGAACCCCTTATTACACCATGACAAAATAAAAAAAAAGCTAGACTAAACTATGATCTATGAATTGCAAAAACCTATCTATATCTTCAAACTTGATCCTGCAGCTCTTGTTGCCATGCTGACTTGTATTCTCCCGGTGAAGTCCCTTTGTTGCCGACTTGAATTGTAATCTGAGATCTTTTCCCTTTTCTCCAGGTGGACGCCTGATTGCTACTTTGAGATGTTTTCCTTTTCTCCAGGTGGACGCCTGACTGCTGAACTTGAACTATATTTTGAGATGCTCTCCTTTTCTCCAGGTGGACGCCTGACCGCTGAACTTGAATTGTGTTCCCTTGCTCTCCAGGCGGGCTCCTGACTGCTAAACTTGAATGTATTCCCATGCTTTCCAGGCGGGCTCCTGACTGCTAAACCTAAATTGTATTCCCTTGCTCTCCAGGCGGGCTCCTGACTGCTAAACTTGAATGTATTCCCATGCTTTCCAGGCGGGCTCCTGATTACTAAACTCGAAATGTATTCCCATGTTCTCCAAGCGGGCTCCTGACTGCTAGACTTGAATGTATTCCCATGCTTACCAGGCGGGCTCCTGACTGCTGACTTGAATGTATTCCCTGGTTTCCAGGTAGGCTCCTGACTGCTGACTTGAAATGTATTCCCTTGTTCTCCAGGCGGGCTCCTGACTGCTTAACTTGAATGTATTCCCTGCTCTCCAGGCGGGCTCCTGACTGCTGACTTGAATTATATTCCCATGCTTTCCGGGCGGGCTCCTGACTGCTGAATTCGAAATGTATTCCCGTGCTCTCCAGGCGGGCTCCTGACTGCTTAACTTGAAATGTATTCCCATGCTCTCCAGGCGGGCTCCTGACTGCTTAACTTGAATGTATTCCCTGCTCTCCAGGCGGGCTCCTGACTGCTGACTTGAAATGTATTCCGTTATTCTCCAGGCGGGCTCCTGACTGCTGACTTGAAATGTATTCCCTGTTCTCCAAGCGGGCTCCTGACATGCTGACTTGAAATGCATTCCCTGTTCTCCAGGTGGGCTCCTGATTTCAACAAAATAAACAAAAATAAAGAAAATTTCTGCCCCAGTTTGGTAGCTGGGCATATATATGAGTATAAACCAAATCATGTTACCAAATACCAATAAGAACTTGAAAGCTGAAACTTGAACTGTACTCCCTTGCGCTCCAAGTGGGCGCCTGATTGCTGAACTTGAATTGTTTTCCCTTGCTCTCCAGGTGGGCGCCTGATTACTGAAACTGGAATTGTAGTCCCTTGTTCTCCAGGTGGGCTCCTCATTGCTGAACTTGAAATGTATTCCCTGTTCTCCAGGTGGGCTCCTGACTGCTGACTTGAATTGTATTCCCTGTTCTCCAGGTGGGCTCCTGACTGCTGACTTGAAATGTATTCCCTGTTCTCCAGGTGGGCTTCTAATTGCTGATTTTGAACTTTTTCTCCCTGTTCTCCAAGCGGGTACCTGATTCCAGCAAAAAGAGACAAAACAAAGGAAATTTTCTGCCCCAGTTTTGTAGCTGGGCACATCTATGAGTGTTAACTGAATCATTCTACCAATTATTATTAAGAATTTGAAAGCTAAGTCCTATTATCCAAGGAGGTCCTGACAACTCTTAATTAAACGACAATTATAGATCTAAGCTGTATCTTCTAAAGGTATTACTTCCGCTAAATCCTGTTATCTAAGAGGGTCTTAAACTACATCTTATTATCCAGGAAGGTCCTGAAAACCAAAATCAAGTCTTATCTTAAAGTGACAATTTTGCGGTTGCACTATACTACCCTGCAACAGAATTTACACTACCTTTTGTTATCTAATGGAAATCTTAAAACTAGGTCCCATTATTCAGGGAGGGTCTTGAAAACTCCTAATTGAATCCTATCTCAAACATGCAATCTTTGAAGCCAACTTATATTCCTTATGCTAAACTATCCTATTCCTAATTGTTGTGAAATTTAAATAAGCCACATTTTCTAGGAGGGTCCATAAAGTTTACGGTCAAACCTGTTTGGTGCTTGCTCTTCCCTATGGAGAGTTCCTCCGAAACAAACGAAATTTCCTGCCCATGTTTCAATCAAAGGAAAATCTTATCAGCTTAAAATGGTGGTTACTTGATGGCATTCTTGCTGAAGGTCTCTCCGCTGCCATGTTTTGTTTTGACATGCTTCCTCGAACTGGCCCTAAACCGCTTGACTTTCTGACTGACTTTCAAAACCCATGACCTTTGACGACCCGAGTATTCTATACCCATACTGTTGTTTTACACCTCTGACCCCTTTATCTGAACTTTTGCATCTCCCATGACATTACCAAATCACTCCACCGATGAAACTTTCGGTGATTCCTTGTATCCCACTTTACATCATGCTATCTTTGGTGTGCTCTGGCCACACTGTACTTTGCAATTTTGGAAGCTGGTAGTGAGCTTTGAAATCCTTTCTTATTTGCTTTGAACAAGACTGACATTGGAACATCTTAAAGAAACAAAACCCCAAAAGAAATGAAATGCAATGACCTTGAGAGTTAAGGATAAAGAAAATCCAAAACCGGACGACTTGCTAGAAAGAAAAAGGAAAAGAGACTTATCTGAGTGGAACAGCTGGTACTATTGATCATGACATGCATTTCGGACTAATCGGCCCAATCCGTCCAACCAATCAACTTTCAATTGCCATACTTTGTTGCCTCAGAATTCCATAACCTGATTTCTTCACCCAAACCCTAACCTTGTTCATCCTGCGGTGTCCTGAACGATTTTCACCCACAGACCTCTCTCATTTGTTCACTTCTCAACTCACTTTCGCCTTAAGGTGCCCCTGAGGGTTTTCACCAATAAGACTCTCTCATTTTTCATTTCTCTTAGCTATCGTCGCCTTACGGTGCCCGTGAGGGTTTTCACCAATAAGACTCTCTCATTTTCATTATTTTTCCTGCTTGGACCGGAGTGTTGCCCCTCATATGAATCATCTCTACTTGCTCGACTTGGCATTTCTCGAAGACTGATCAGAAGGTCTTTCTTTGGACCGTAATGTGGGCTTTTGGATAGGGTTAGAAAGAAAGGGTATTAAAGTCTCAAAACAATTCAAATGGGTTTAAAATTATAACTTTTGGAATCAGATTTCTTACAACAACCGCAACTTCTGTCCCAGTTTCTTGCTTGGGGACTTTTGGATCTTTATTTTGATGGGACCGAACTGTGAGGCTGCCTACGTATCCTTAAAAGGAATCAGGTCGAATGTAGTTCATGTCATAGAAATTACTTTGTTGTTGTGACTTTTCTTTTCTTTTTTTTCGTTTTTCCACTTTCTCTTCTTTTCTTTTCTTTCTTCCTTTTCTCTTTTTGTTGTTTTGTTGTTTCTTCTTTCTTTTTTCTTTTCTTTTTCTTATCTTTTTCTTTTCTTCTTCTTTTTCCTTTTCTCCTTCCTTTTTCCTTCTCTCTCTTTTCATTCTTTTTCTTTTCTCTTCCTTTTTACTTATCTTTCACGCTTGTGTTTCTGATCTTTACTACTGATTCCGAAAGAGGGGTATGAAAGAAAATAAGTAAGGCTCAAAGGGGGTAACAAAGGATAAAGTGTTTAGATAGCAGAACAAAATGCCTTCGTCATTCCAATCTCCAAAACATGCCAAGTACAACTAACACAGTTAAACAAACCAAGGAAAATATTCGTAACATCTTCTGATTGTACCAGACTTGATAACCATATCCTCGCATTCGCCTTCTACATCTGTTAAATACAAAACACCATTGGACAACACTCTCACTCTCCTTACCACGAACGGCCCCTGTAATTTGGGGCAAACTTTCCTTTGGCTTCAAATCGATGCGGCATGATGCGTTTCAACAGTATTTTTTTATGTTCTATCTGCCCCATTTTCACATGGTTCGGGCTTCAAATGATCTCAAAATATCCAAATCTGTTCTTATTTACCTCAAGTGCCCCTATCATCTTCCAAATTTCTTCATGATTGAACCAACCTTTAAGATCAGGCCTAGAATTATGCGTGCATGTCATGTCACTAGAACCAGCATGAAAAGAACTGTAAAAGGAGAAGAGAATTAAACAAGAATGACTAGAAATGGCGGAAAACAGAGAATTGCATTAAACAGACGGTGAAAGGGTTTGAACAGCAAAACAAGCAAAATAGCCTGGGGTACAACCCTAAAACAAACCTAGATAACACTAAAGGAGATACTACGACTAAAGGAACTAGACAAAATAAAAGGATAGAAGGGTTTGAGTCACAAGACAATATCTGGATTACAACCCTGAAATAACCCGAACTACAGAAATGACAACAAAATAAACCACCAAGACTCCACTCCAGCTAACCAAGAAATGGAGCGTCTTCCCAATTATCAAGCACGGCATCTTAGCCACTGAGTTTCGCATCAATATTGCCAAGACCATTACCAACTTCAACATTATCAACTTTAATCAACAAGTTCCCAAGAGGATTCGCATGCTCCCTGCCATTGTCATTGACCACAACTACCCCTTCTTGAATCATTCTTTCTATTTTCCTTTTCAAAGAGCGGCAATGTTCAATGCTATGCCCTGGAAATTAGAGTGGTACATGTATCGAACAGCAGGATCAAAGCCTTTCGCATATGGGTCAGGAGTATAGCCGAGGAGCGGCTCAATCAGGTCAGAATGCTTTAACTTTTCAAAAAAACTTGTGTAGGATTCTCCGATGGGCGTGAAATTATCTTTTTGCCTTTGTTTCCCTCCATGCCTCAGCTTTCTAGGATTGTTGGATGCTTGAAAATGTTGTGAAGGCACACGAGAATTTTGGGATGGGTGCTCGCCCTAGGGAGTGACCCAGTGGTTGGACAGATGGCCGGATGTTGTTCGGTGGATAATACTGGGGTAGCTTATGTAGAGTTTGGGGATGTTCACGGGGTCGGTATTGAGGCTGAAAGCATTTAGCAAGAACGACCACTAGACCCTGTCGCCGGTGGAGGGAGTGACCTAGTGGTTGGACATATGACCGGTCATTGTTCGGAGGATAACGCTGAGGTGGATTATGTGGAACTCGGGGACAGGTTTGGGGTTGGGTTGAGGTTGAAGACGTTTGGCAAGAACGACCACTGGACCCTGTCGTCGTCGGGGCTCAGCGATATCTTTTCTATCAATGGGAGGACTATCCCGAGCAACTTGTTCGTTCCATCTGACCCAAAATTCCCTAGAACTTTCCTTGGGTTTCTTTTCCATCTGAGATAGGGAGGAACGGTTTGGGACAATGTCTTTATTGTACTGAAAATGTCGCACAAAATCTTGAGCCATGTCACCCAATGTAGGCCACTTACCGACATCTTGACGATTATGCCATTCCAAAGCTGCCCAGTCAGGCTCTCACTGAAATACGCCATCAGCAGCTCATCTTCCTCGCCAATATTTCTCATTTCACTGCAATAACCCCTCAGGTAGGCTATTGGATCTTCCCGCCCATCATACAAATTAAACTTCGGCATCTTAAACCCTTTCAGCTTTCTGGATATCTCATCTTGCTCCACTGTCTTAGCAAGCTTTGTAGTCTCGCCGGGAGGCTCAAAATGAGGAGCGTGAGAGTATGGACCCGAGACCTTGAAAATTGGTTCTGGAGCGCAGTGTTGGGCATCGGGGACTGATGGTGGAGGACGCCCACTAATCCAAGCTTGGTATATTTCGGCCATCTGTCTTTTCAACCTTATGACCTCTTCTTTCAACTCAGATTCTGATTCAACAATTCCCTTAAACGGATCAACCACCCCTGTGTCTGATCCCTTACTAGTCATGGCTGTCTTGCTGTTTGACCTAGCGAACATGGATGACTCGCCTGAATGCCACAAACTAACCACTTGCCTGGACTCAATACATCAACAACCTCCTTGTTAGCGATTAGGGCTTTAACAGATTGGTAACCGCACATTTTGGGGCCATGAATGCACCTAAGCAGTTAACCGTTTCTATTATGCATTTGATCGGTTGAATGCGTCATCCCGGCTTCCCTTATTTCCATTTGTAACTTCTTTTCTTTTCCCCTCTTTCTTTTTTCTTTCCTTTCTTTTTCTTTTCTTTCTTTTTTTTTCATTCCTGCCTTTGCTTTCTCTTTGTGTTTATTCTCTCATTTCTCCCTCTTACTTTGCCTTTGTTTCCTTCTCTCGGTTTCTTATTTTCTTTTCTTTGCTTTTCCTCTCTTGTTTTTCCTCTCTTTTTCTTTACCTTTCTTTTTCCTCTTTCTTTTCATTTGGTTACGGTCGAATCCTATGGAGATTGCCTACGTATCATGACCCCGCATGAATCAGACCAAGCGTAGTTCTTGGGGATATAAATGAAAAATAAATAACAAAAATATTTTGGGATTTTTCATAAAAACAAATGCTTTGATTACAAAACTAACAGATTCAAAACTAACAGACCCTGAAAAGATGAAAATACGGACTCAAAAGGACTAACAGACTCTGAAAAGATGAAAATACAGACT